CCCCAAAACCCCAAAACCCCAAAACCCCTAAATTATATCTAAATAGCATTTGATAAATACTATTATAATAAATATATTAGAAAAATGGAGATCTAAATATCATAAAGCGAAGTATAGAAGCTTTTTGAATCAAATCAACTGTAATAAATTGCTAAATTCAAAATTTTAGGAAGCCAAAATTGGATACCATTGCTTAAAGCCTCTTAAAGTCCATTTAAGATCCGCAAAAATCATTTTAGCTTAAAGCTGAAGTTTTGTAGATCTTCTATCATATAATTGACATGCATGTCAATAGAGTTATCTCCGTAGACCTAGATGGACTTGCTAAACTAATTTCTTACTATAAAAATCAGCTCTAAAGCTCGATAGCTACATCTACTGGTTACTCTATTCAAGTAGAGCTTGAAGCTTAGCTCATCGAGATTATTTCTCTGAAATTCTAAAATATCTAATCAACTCAAACAAATCAGTAGCTAGATATATAAATGAAAACACTCACCTAGGTAGTATAGTACTTACACCAATAGCAAATTCTATCAATCGATAATCTTGTTAGACATATGGATGAGCAAACTTTATCACAAACAGGACTCTTGGACTCAAATAACTATAAAAACAAATTTAGAAGAGCAGTGACTCAATTTATGTATGAGCAACAGAAATTCAACCTCTTAAGAGAGGAAAATGAAGGATTTGCTAAACTTATAGTTGAGTTAAATCAGCCAAACATCAACCAGTCAAACATTGACATTGTCAAAAAGAATGTTGAAGCAATGATTGGATTCTTCAACCTTGATCCTAACAGAGTTATGGACATAATTCTTGATTCTTACGAAAATAATATGCAGAATGAAGCTTATTTGATTCTTCTAAAAGATCCTTAATTTAATGCAGTATCAATCGCTCAAGTAATGGGTTTTAAATTCTAGAGTTATTTAGAATAACTAGCTAAAAGCTCTACTACCAATAACAATACAGCTCACCCACCTTAAAGTCTTTTTAATCTCACTGCTGTTTTGATTAAAAACAAGATCATAACATTCGATGACATATGGCCTCATTTGGGAAACTATCAGGAATCAAAGGATTCTAAAGAACTAGATGAAGTTGAAGTATTGCTAAATAAATAACTAAAATTAGCTCAATTTCACTATAAATCAATGTATGAATCTATAATGGATAGAGAGGCTTATGAAAAGACTATCAAACAAAGAATACTAGAAAAGGAAGAAGTTGAAAAACTTAGATCCCAAATGCCATTAAATTTCAGACTCAAACTCTTGGAGAGTTTCGTCAGAATAAATCAGTGGGGCTTAGTAGATGAAATCATTGGAAGATTTTATGACTATAAGCTAGATTTAACTCTGAGTAGCAGTTTATTAAGTGCAATGTTCGAATAATTACTATGGTTTATAGAGCCTATATATGGTCCTCTTGGCAAGGCTAAACATTTTAAAAACACAAATACACTTAAAGCTAGTGGTCTTATACTTTCTTAAAACGAAGGCGAGTTTCAATAAGCATCAACTCCAGCTATATTCTTCGATAATATTTTATAAATACTTAAACCTCTTGGAGTTTATCTTGCATATGATCAGAAAATCTTTTACAAACTTTGTGTAATCATCAAGCAGCACTTTTCTATCAATCCAAGAAGAAGTATATAGATAGCTGGAGAGTTATTCCTCCCTGCGCTAGCATTAGTTGAGGAAAATAACGAAATTTCAGAGTTAATCTGGAGCATTCTATCAAATATAGACTATACTCTTAGATATGAATTCTATACATAAATGATAACCTAAACATATATTTCAAGTACTGCACTAATTGTTAAAATGGTAGAGGTATAAGAAGGAATTCGATAATGGCAGAAGAGACTTAGTATTGAAACAGTAAAATTGAATGCTAGATAACTAGCTAAATTAGCATCTGGAAATGCATTAATTGTCATGAATACAGTGCTCTCTTATGCCAAGAATTACAGGAATATGATTGAAGCTCAAATACAATCACTCAGTCTTTTTGGACCTTTATAACTAGATATGGTCGCATTTAGTTTAGTCAGATTGATATCAGATTCTCCAGAACAAAGATTGGACTCAGAGGCGAACCCAAATGACTGGCTTCAAAATCTAGCTGAGTATTCAGCTTTGTTCTTCAAAAAGTATTGCTAAGTAGATATGGTTGGCCTTCTTACATACCTCCTAAATAAAATGAGATATGATAATGAGTTCAATGAGATGATCATATTAAAGGAAGTAATTGCCAAGATGTTTGGATGGTCTTAATTCAACGTAAATGAAATGACCCCGTCTCAATTACAAGCTTTGGCTGGAGGTATTGTACTCAGATTAGAACATATGTCATAATACAACAATTTTAAGAGAACTTAAAAGTCTAGTGATGCTCTCTAGAATTTATTCTGGCAAAGAACTAATGACAAGCCTCTGTCACTTGCCTTTAGATTGATGGCTAACTTGGCTAAAATGACTTAGTATATCTAGAATAGTGTTCAAACAGATTAAATGATGCTTATCAGTACTTTATTAGATAGAATGCAATTCACCTTCATTTAATTTGTTGAGTCTCTCAATTATCTAGAGTATATTCCAAGTAAGTATGCTTAAATCTGGCCAGCCTCACCAGAAAAAGTCCTAACTGTAAATTACAAGCTTCCTCCCTAATATGTCTTCTAAATTCTTAGAGGAGGACTTAAGAAAATTTAGCATCTTACTGACGATGAATTCGATTAGAAAGTTCATGAATTTAAAAGTGTGCTTGATTTGCACTACCAAATAAGAGTTGATGAAGTGACTGATGAAAAAGATCAAGAGAGTGAATACTGGGACGAGAGGGCATTCTTAACTTAAAAGAGGGATGAAATATGGAGATGTCTCAATCCAAAATTATATTGCATTTTCTGGTATCTTTAACTCTAATCACTGCTCGTACCAAATGACTCTTACTCTGAATAAATAAAAAAAGTTCAACTGTAAATGGATTAATCAAATAATCAGTAAACTTCTAACAACAAAAAAAATAATAAAGAGATTGAGAGGCTCAAGGCAACTAAAAAGAATCTTGAAATAGAACATAAAGACTATTAGAATAACTTCTTGGAGATAGATGAATTCCTGGCTAAACAACTGCCAAAATGTTTTGAGACAATAGAAGATGATTTCTAGGTCAATTGGAGCACGGTCTTCATTCAGCATTGCCTATACCCAAGGATAATGTTTTCAGCAACTGATTCACTCTACGCAATTAATTTCATCAAGAAACTACATAAACATAAAGTCCCCAATTTCAATATTCTAAGTACTCTTGGATAAATTTTAAAGAGTGTTGCTCCAACTATTCATTGCTGCACTGAGGAGGAAAGCTAAAACTTAGGGGTATTTTTCTTAGAGCTTTTCCAGTTGATTGATTAGTGGTAAAAACCAGATATTTGGGATAGAGATTGTAAGAACTACTCAGGTTTCGCTAAACTTATAGGGTCTACTCAAAGCATCAAACTCTCAGAATTCTAATAAATAGTTGAATCGATTCATAAAAGATTCGCTTAAAATCTTATAATGTGCTTTTAAAATGGAAAACAATAAATCAAAACAAAATGCGGATTGACAATTTTAAATAAGATGAGTCCAATTTTCCCTAACTAGTACTATATTGCTAAAGTGCTATAAAAACATCTGCAAAATTTAGTAGGTCAAAAGGCCTAGATTGATAACATGCTTTGGACTCTAGCGTTCTAATGCAACTAAAATTTACTCAAGAAAATGGATGGGATGGAGAAGCCTGCAAGTGTAATAGAATAAGAATAAAAAGCAGTAACCTAAACAACTATTGATTAACCAATATTATAGAAAGCTGAGAAAGAATAAGCAGAAAGAGAGAGAGAACGTGAGAGAGAAAGAGATCTAAGAAACAGAGATAGAGAACGCGAACAAAGAGATCGAGATAAGTAATAAAATCCCTCTAGTGCTGCTGCAGCTAAGGAGTCTGAAATAGGTGGAGTTGAATCGAGACGTAAGGTGAAGGAGAGAGAGAAGGATCTATAATAATAGCAACCAGCAAATAGATAAGCCTCTGATGCCAATTACATTGCTCCATAAGCTGATGTTGCTTCTAGGATAATAGTTGCTAATAGAGACCAGTAAAGTAACATTAAGGAAGAAGAAAAGAAACAAAGAGGGTTGAATGAATCAAAGGACAATAATGGCAATAACTCTAAGGATAATGCTAACCCAAATACCAATGCATCAGGTACTAGAATTATCACAAAGCCAAGCAGAAGCCCTATTGACAATAAGAGAAGAGATAGATCTCCAAATAGAGACAATAATGATGATAGGAAGTACAGAGATGTTAAAAGACCAAGAAAAGATGAAGACTAAGGTTAATCTTCTAGATTCATCCAAAAGAACAATCAACCTAATAATTAGAGAAAATGATTGCTTCTCAAGGAAGAACAATACTTCTTTAAGATTGATTTCATAATTAATTAAATTAATAAAGCACATGGGTAGATAAATCATATTTATATTGAATTTCTAGTAATTATTAAATTAACTATTTTTTCGAATATTACTATACTGCGGGGTTTTGGGGTTTTGGGGTTTTGGGG